GGTGATAGATATAGGACAGATGTCAGAGGTAGGTTCTTTACTCAGAGTAGTAAGGGCGTGGAATGCCCTGCCTGCAAAAATAGTAGACTCGCCCACTTTAAGGGCATTGGATAAACATATGGATGATAATGGAATAGTTTAGGTTAGATGGGCTTCAGATTGGTTTCACAGGTCGGCGCAACATCGAGGGCCGAAGGGCCTGTACTGCGCTGTAATGTTCTATGTTCTACGAATCAATGTCTCTGACACTCCCTATCTGTCCCTTTGTGTAAAGTGACACAATGCCACCCTCTATTGGCCTCTCTGCGCTACTGCACAAGCGGCAGATTTCTTTTTTTCTGGGACAATTTGCTGCTGTCCCGCTGTTCATTCTATTATTTCTAACAGTCTCACAATGACCTGAGTGACGCAAACGTCTGCGCATGATGTCTCACGAATATGGCTGCCACCTATGCGGGAAGGACTGAAGAGGAGGCAAGAGGTAACACAGTTCAAGACCGTGGGACGAGGCGGAGCCACTCCGTTTGGCGGCTAGGAGGAGTTATTATCAGTAGCCACTGTCAATGAATGAAATCAGTTTTTTTTAAGAGAAATGTGTCACTGGGACCTATATTCTCCCTGAATGGATTAACTACATTTCTAAATAGTTATGAAATGAATTTACCCTCTCTGCAGTCAACAGGTTACAGAGATAGTGAGGGGTGTCAGCGCTGGAGGAGGTTACGGAGATGGACACGTGTTTACTGGATATTACCAAGAGATGGCACAAAGAATTATTGCAATTCCATCACCGTCCCATCACCCGTACACCCTCCTGTCTGTGTCTGGGACAGCTTTGTGCATTCTGGAAGATCCGCACATTGTAACCTGAGAAAAGTGAGGTAACTCCCTGTTTGATCGCGGTGAGGCCCCTTGAACTGGACAGGCCAAAGTGTGACCTCACAGAACAGGTATTACCTCACAATGTACATCACAAAGAGAGATCCAACATAACAATCGGGTTGTAAACTGGCTTCGTCTGAGGCACGAGGTTGCACGAGTAAACCCAGGGAAGGCAAGGCCACTGCACTGTGTCTCTGGCTGATCTGTCTGGGAGTGAATGTGATCAGAGGGAAGATCAAAACAGCTTCACTTTACAAAGAGAACGCAACACTATGAAAAGACCATCAGTGAGGCGGTTGGACAGAAGATGGTGAGGTTTGAAAAGTTAGTCGAAAATTCTTCCTCTAGCACTGACTGAAGGTTTGAGGGAAAATAGGGAATTAATGTTCCAGAGATTCAGTCTGAGCAAGTTTAGAGCTTATTTTAACTGGCAAGATATCCAGAACTAGGGCAGCACAGTGGCTCAGTGGTTAGCAG